TCGACGATCGCGAAACGCGCGCACAGTATCTACATAAAAAGAGTTCTCTCTCTGGCATACCATCGCCTGACGCTCTTCCGTCCGGGTGGTATGAATGCGTTTATAAGCCCGGCGGCAGAAGTCAGTCAGTCTCTTTTTCTCGACAGCAGCTTGCTCTTCGGTTGACAATTCATGAAACGCTTTCAGTTCCGTTCGAGTCTGGCCGTCTACGGGATTTGTCACTTTCACGGGAAACCTCTCCTGAGCTAACTGCGCTTGAATTCGATAGACTTCTGGACGAGAGGCGGTCCATAGTTCGGCACGCCATGTCCATGGCATGAAACGTTGACAGGATACCCCCGGCTTATAGAAATGACAATCCGAACAACGTGCAGTTGAATCCGAGTCGACCGCTGAAGGTTGTAGTCGATTGGTGAGGATGATGTTCGGGTACATTGCTCCCACATCCAAATGATATATAACGGGACATTCTATCCGGTTTGAGGTAGCCGCTAAGTCGGCCAGTGTATCTTCCACCTGACGACAAACCTAATTGAAAGATACGAGAATAGATTATGAAAAGGATGGATTTGGTCGAAAGAAAGAAATTAAAATAGATTGTGGATGACAGATGAACGTTCTAATATACGATATAATACAACTGTCCCTTCAAAGTTGATGCTATGCATATTTACCTACTCATGTTTGCAACAGCTCCCCCTTCTTCGTTGATCAGTTTTCCATTGGTGGTTTCAGGTTGATTACACACACGTGTATGTGTAGGAGGTGTTTTTCTGAATTACGATCCGAATAATCGCAGTTTACGTCACCGCGGGGACACAAGAAATATGGACTAATAACTAGGCTTGGCAAGGACGAAGTAGTTGTCTAGCGCTTTCATTATAAAAACCGGTGGTATGGTTGTGTCGTAGGCAGTGGCGCTCGTGAGTTTACTCATTATCCTTGCCACCTTCGTCCATGTGAGTTATCTAACTTCTCTTTGACTCCGCTCGAAAAATTACAGTCTTCATTCTGTTATTTTATTCAAACCATAAAGCTAAACACTACTTGAAATGAACAGTTACCCGACAGCAACCAAAATCGGCGCACGAAAGTGCATGGCTGATGGTTGTAAAATCTGAAACTAATAAAGAAGACACATTACAAGATGGGGTAGTGGTGGCTCAGTGGTTAGTCGTTGTCACCGGCGTGCTTTGAACCCTATGGTGCGAAGTTTGAACCTCGCCACCGCCACTCAACTCCGGTGATAGACAGCTTTCCTGTCGTCTGGATCAATACCGCGCCTAACCCAAAGAGGCCTTGTGTAGTTCGCCAATCCGAATCCTGAGCCTTAGGTTGCCAATTTCCATCATTAAATAGCGGCTCTACTTGACTATGGGGTTCACTCCGTGTGCTGTTTATCACAAAAAAATGTGTGGAATAAAAAAAACGATCACACGACGGCTTATTCCCACGTTATTAACCCGTTCGCTCCATCCAACATGGGCTAAACTACGTAAACACCGATAATCGAAACTTCCAGTAGATGG